TCAAATACTGTGCTTACATTGCAGTTTGACCAATTCACATTTTTTGGGTGTTAAAAAGTAAATTTGGGGCATGCACTTCATATCTGTGAGTCAAATAGAACCGTCAAATACTGTGGTTACATCTCACTTTGAAAAATTCACATGTTTTTGGTGCTAAATAGTACATTTGCGGCCTGCGGTGAATTTCTTGCAGTCCAATAAAACCGTTAAATACTGCTGTTACATTGTTGGTTTAAAGAATCACACTTTTTTTGTGCTAAATAGAACATTTGTGGCCTGCAGTGCATTTCTTGCAGTCCAATAAAACCCTTAAATACTACTCTTACATTGTTGGTTTAAAAAATCACACTTTTTTGTGCTAAATAGAACATTTGCGGCCTGTGGTGCATTTCTACCGCCTCTACCTTGGCTGGCTCTGGTCTTTGGCTCCCACATTCAACTCTGTGTCTCAGGTACTGTACCTCAGCCATACCTAGATGGCACTTAACTGGCTTCAAGGTCAGGCCTGCGGCCCGAATCTTGTCCAGAACCACCCTTACATGAACCAAGTGCTCCTCCCAAGACCCACTTTAGATCGCGATGTCATCCAGGTATGCACAAGCAAAATCCTGGAAGCCATCGAGGAGCCTATCCACCATATGCTGGAAGGTAGCCGGGGCATTTTTCATCCCAAATGGCATAACCCTAAATTGGTACAGGCCAAACAGGGTGACAAATGCCGACTTGGGGATAGCATCCTCGGCCACGGGAATCTGCCAATAACACTTACACAGGTCTATGGTAGTGAGATAGCGCCCCCTGGCTATGCGATCTAGCAGTTCGTCTACCCTGGGCATCAGGTAGGTGTCAGTGGTGGTCTTCTCGTTGAGTCGCCTGTAGTCCACGCAGAACCAGGTGTTTCCATCGTTCTTATGCACCAGGACTACAGGCGAGGCCCAAGGACTGCCTGAGTGCTCAATGACCCCTAACTGGGTCATCTCCTGTATTTCCTTCCGCTTTCCTTCTCAGACTGCTTCAGGGATACGGTAAGGGGGCTGTCGCAGGGGTGTCTGTCCAGGGGCCTCTACCCTGTGCACAGCTAGGGTCGTATAGCTTGGTTCTTGGGAGAAAGTCACCTGTTTCTCCCACAGAAGCCTGTCCCATCTCGGTGTGGCTTAATCGGTCTCCTAGCTGTACAAGGCTAGTAAGGTCAGTCTGGGGGTCTCTCTCTAATAAATAAGGGAGGGGTAAGCTTTCTGAGTCGTCTGCAGCAGGGGCACACACTGCAGCGACATCGTCCTGTCTTTCTTGGTACTCCTTCAGCATGTTCACATGAAAGGATCGCTGGATCCTTTCATCTGCATAGCTGGCAATGACATAAGAAGTATCACATACCTGGGCTACTACTTTGTATGGGCCCTCCCAAGATGCTAGCATCTTGTCAGTCTTCACCAGCTTGAGCACTAAGAGTACTCCACCAACATGGCCAGTGCCGCTGATGCCATTCTCAGCCTTACTATCCCGCTTCTATGTCTCCTTGAAAATACGCTTGGGCAATGATGGAAGAGGATGTGGCACAGGAGGAAGAGGAGGAGGAAGAGGGGTCATTTCCACGGTTATCAGGCCAGTCATTCACAAGGGGCTCAGAGGGTGGGTTCCTGCAACAGCATAGGCCAGGTACACAATTGTCCAGCCAGGGCACAGTTCTAGAGGATGAGGAGGAGGATGAGGAGGAGGAGGAACCATGTTCACAGCAGGGTGGCACCCAACGCAGCTCGTGGGCATCACTGGAGCGAGGCGGGGGGGATACAGAGGACACAGAGGATACACCTCCTACAGAGGACAGCTTATCCTTGCCTCTGGGCAGTCTGGCAACTACATGCTGCAATGCCTGCGCAACGACTGCCGAGTTGCCCACATTCTAACTTGTGCTATTACTGGGTGGCCACCCTGCTGGATCCCCATTGCAAGGACAACGTGCTGTCCTTAATACCCTCACTGGAGCGTGATTGGAAGATGCACGACTACAAGCGCATGCTGGTAGACGTGCTGCTGAGGGCATTCCCAACTGATACCGGGGGCTCAGTGGAAGCACAAGGCGAAGGCAGAGAAGGAGGAAGAGGTCCCCAACGCAGCTGGGGCACCGCCAGCACCTCAGAAGGCAGTGTTAGCATGGCCGAAATGTGGAAAAGCTTTGTCAGCACGCCACAACAACCAGCACCACCAGCTGATATGGAACGTCTTAGCAGGAGGCAGCATTTCAGCAACATGGTGGAACAATACGTGTGCACACGCCTACACGTACTGACTGATGGCTCTGTCCCATTTAACTTCTGGGTCTCCAAATTGGGCAAGCTCACGTTTATTAAAATGAACCAGGCATGGATCCCACCAGACTTGTCTGTACCTTGTGCAGAATAGACATTTATACCGGCCTCACCCAGCCATTGTTATACTCAAGTGAACTTATTCTATGTTTTCTTTTATTATATGTCCCAATATTTTGGAGGCTACCCCAATTAAAAAAAATAAATAAACACTGCAATGGTTACCGCCTCCTCAACCTCCTACTCCACATACACCTCCTCCTCCTAGTTCAAGATTATTATTTTTAATTTTTATGTATTTTATGTTATTTAAAGTTATTTCCCTATCCACATTTGTTTGCAGGGCACTTGTCCTACTCTTACCCCTATTTTAATTCCTTTTGCAGTCCTTTCCAGGACTTTTTTAGAGCCATTTTAGTGCCCAAAAGTTCGGGTCCCCATTGACTTCATTGGGGTTCGGGTTCGGTGTCAAGTTCGGGTCAAGTTTGAGTACGAACTCAAACTTTTTTCCGAAGTTCGGCCGAACCCGAACATCCAGGTGTCCGCTCAACTCTATTAGACTCTCTTTCTAATTAATGTAATTAAGTATTGTTGTTAAAGGACCACTCTAGGCACCCAGACCACTTCAGCTTAATGAAGTGGTCTGGGTGCCAGGTCCTTCTAGGATTAACCCATTCTTTTATAAACATAGCAATTTCAGAGAAACTGCTATGTTTATTAATGGGTTAAGCCTTCCCCCTATTCCCTCTAGTGGCTGTCTCATTGACAGCCACTAGAGGCGCTTGCGTGCTTCTCACTGTGATTTTCACAGTGAGAGCACGCAAGCGTCCATAGGAAAGCATTGTAAATGCTTTCCTATGCGACGGGCTGAATGCGCGCGCAGCTCTTGCCGCGCGTGCGCATTCAGCCCAGGAGGAGGATCAGGAGAGCTCCCCGCCCAGCGCTGGAAAAAGGTAAGTTTTTAACCCTTTCCCCTTTCCAGAGCCGGGCGGGAGGGGGTCCCTGAGGGTGGGGGCACCCTCAGGGCACTATAGTGCCAGGAAAACGAGTATGTTTTCCTGGCACTATAGTGGTCCTTTAAGCAGTATACTACTTCCAACTGTTAAACTACTTGCTTAGGATACTGATTCACATGTGTATTTTATAATTGAGATTGTTTAACGTTTGTTATATATATATATTGTAAAAATTATGCATGTATTAGCTTGACAAAGACCTTTGGGGTCGAAACGTTGCTGTTGTGGTTCCTAATAAAGTACCTGTCTTGAACCAAGGAGTGCCAGGACCTCTATTACTTTATTATTTTTTGGAAATCTGGTGTTTGATTCCGGTTCAGCAAGCACCCTGGCTCAGATTTATGGGAGTGAGTGCAGTTCCACACACACTACTGAGCCTATTTATAGCAGGCTCAGACTTTCAGCGTTCTTCAATATATAAAGCCTCCAGATACTGCTCCCAAACTCTGCTTCTCCACAAGGATTCAACTTCCCAATTAATGGTAAATGCAGAGTAATTTATTGGGTAATAAAATGCAGGAGGTATTACATAAAAATAAAATGAATATATGGGCACAACGCGTTTCGACTTTTAATAAAGTCTTTTTCAAGTGCATAATTACAATTAGTCCTTCTCCTCTCTTTTATAACCGGTTCTGTCTTCCTCCCGCGTATACTCCGTAGTACTTCCGGGTTCGCGGGGTCAAGTGACGTCACTCCTATTTCGGACGTTCGGCAGGACGCCGTTGCGTCTGACATCATCACATGATGATGGTTATGGGTACTTTGGAGCCTGGAGTCTATTTGTAATACTGGAGTAGAATAGGCTCTTACCCTTAAGTGCAAAATCATCAAAATTGAAACAAAAATTTAATCAATAATCATTTTAAAAAACTATTTATTCCTGATATGAACAAAAATTATAATATTGATACATTCTTATCAATTCAGGCTTAGCAATATACAAATCGTGTTTTAATAATAATGTACAATATGAAAAAAGGAAACAAGGAGGATTCTTTATTTTCATTAAATACAAAGAAAAGGGGAACTAAAGATACTTGTAAATAAATACTTTCCAGATAATATTAAAACAGTTATAAAATGGAGTGTTATAGAGGTGTATTTTTGAGAAGAGGTGGAGTTTTTAAAACCTAAAAGGCTAAAATTTAATAAAAATAATAGTTTGTAATCTAAAATACATATAAAGTTATAAAATATAACATAAATGTGGAGTTTGAAGTTAACCAATTAATGTAAAAAATATGGTACATTATATTTCATAACTTTTTATAATTTTTATTAACTTTTAGCCTTTTAGGTTTTTAAATTGCACTATGATATGTATCATGTGTTTTATTGCAGACATTTAATGTAATTTACTGTTCAGGACCCAGCAGTGGTAACATTTTACTGTTTACTCGCCTATCCACTTTTTAATAGTGGTAATTACCTAAACATAGCTTTTCCATCATGAATGAACGCTAGCCCATCTCAGTTACATTACAGATACAAAATGACTTTCTGCGTCCATTACTATAAAATAAAGAAAGTATGTTAGAATAAGAAATTAAATAATAGTGATTTTACTAACACAATTTACTTCTATCAGCTGAACCCTTACAATTTAAGAAGTGATATTTTTGAATTTTTATTGGCTATTGACATTATACCAATTCTTTGTGTTTGTGTTTTATAGATCAGCCACGGTGCTACAGACTATGCACTGACAGACAGACTTCAATATCCACATGTTTTCAAAATGATGCCAAATGACCGTATCTATTACACAGTTGTAGTTACATTTCTGAAATACTTCAAATGGAACTGGGTTGGAATTTTTTCCTCCGATGATGTAACTGGAGAGACAGAGAGCAAGGTTCTCACAGACTATTTGGCCAGTAATGATATCTGTGTCGCCTTCCGAATAAAAAGTAATATTGATTTACATAAGGAACAAATCCTTGAAAGAAATAAAATAATAATGAAGAAGTCAGGTGCTAAAATAATCATAATCTGTGGTTCCCACTCCCCTGCAACTTTTTCTAGGTTAACATTATTACTTGGGAAAGTTCATGATATGATTTTAATTTATTCATCATCCTATTTTTATAGTATTGAAAAACATGAATTGAGCTTGCCAACCTTTGATGGAAGTTTCACATTAACACCTTCCAATTGTAATTATTCGTGCCCTTGGAGAGTATTTTCTTTGGATCATCCTTCAAAATACCCAGAAGATAAACTTCTCGAACATACTTGGATTAAAGGGTTAACGTGTTTATCATTAAACCAATTATCTGATACATTTTATTCAAAGTTATATAGGTTATCACTTAAAAACTGCTCTACCAAATATCAAAAGACATTTTCAGAACATGAATTACCTGCTACATTTTTATCTCGAATGATTAACGGATTGGAGTCCTTAGTTAAGTCTTTGCAAGCAACGCTGTTTCATAATATAAGACTATTTAATAAAACATTAAAGAACTTAAGTTTTAGGCATCAGGTAAATTTTTGAAGATTTTTTTTTCTTAAAGTTTTCAGTAAACATTGTGCATACGATTTTGACTAGTTGTATGTTAGTACTGTTTCTGTATTATAAAACAAATATAGATGCTTATTACTGGTTCATAAAAAGAGCAGAATTCGTACTTTTCCTTTAGAGAAGTGAAATGGCAAAAGAGTAGTGAAGTCGAGGTCAAAGAAGTACAGAAGTTCATCTAAAGTTGTCAAACCAAGCATCATAGTAGAAAATAAATGAACTATGTGTTCTCTCAATATTAAAATACCTTTCTTAAATAACAACTTTAGCTTAATTAAGCAATTTTGGTATATAGATCATGTCCAAGCATTCTTGTTGCTTAATTCTCTGCCATTTAGGAATTAAATCACTTTGTTAATACAGCCTTAAATACACCCATGACATACACAATTAGGGGTTACCCCCACCTCTATAATTAAGGGGGGGGGGGCTGGCAGCCCTAGGCCTGGGGGGCAAATCCAGTCAAGTGGCCCATTGCACCAATGAATCAGCTCACCATCCATGCCCACTTTTTCCTGGATTTATTACGGATATAGGTGTAGTCCATGTATCAAGCACTTTTTGTGTACATCGATGGGATTACCATCCCATACACCGTCACCAGGGCTTTACACATTTTATTGGAATCTAGAAGCCAGCTGAAAAAGTTAGGAGTAAAGTTTTCAACATCAAAAATAAAAATTTTAAAGGAACACTGTAGTCACCATAACTACTACAACTTAATGTAGTTGTTTTGGAGCCTTTATCCTGTCATATATATATATATATATATATATATATATACACACACACACACACACACACGCATACACACACACACGTATATATATGTAAAAAACAGATACAATTCTTATCTTGTAATACCTTATTTATTGGACTAACAGAATTTTTTAATGACAAGCTTTTGGGAGAACCTCCCTTTCTCAAGTCTGAAGCATTTCTGAGCAAAACGACACATAGAATTCAAAGTTGAGTTGTGATACAGGGGTTAAAGCGACATGAGTCGCTCTATGAGTCCTCTATTCTTGCTGTTAAACCATTTAATCATTCTGGCTTCAAAGGCTTTTCTTTCCGGGGTATTTTTAAAACCCCCTTTCAGTACATTGATTTTTAGGTCCTTCAGTGAGTGGCCAGGCTGGGTAAAGTGGTGTCCCACAGGAGTGCAGTATGATTCTTCTTTGTGGTGTTTAATAGAGTGTCTGTGCATATTCATTCAGCCATTTAATGGCTGGGTGGTTTCCCCAAGTGTACCATCCTGTGCACTGTCTGCTTGTTAGTTTTTCTTTTCCCTCTCTCCCCCCTCACTCTGCTCTTCAACAAGATATTTATGACCCTCTGCTAAGATGGTGTCTATTTTCAAAGAAACCTGTGTCTTATCTACACTCATGTCGCTTTAACCCCTGTATCTCAACTGAACTTTGAATTCTATGTGTCGTTTTGCTCAGAAATGCTTCAGACTTGAGAAAGGGAGGTTCTCCCGAAAGCTTGTCATTAAAAAAATTCTGTTAGTCCAATAAATAAGGTATTACAAGATAAGAATTTTATCTGTTTTTTACATCTACATCACTGGACTAATACGGCTACAATCTCTACTTGAACACTAATATATATATATATATATATATATATATATATATATATATATATATATGTAAAACACACAATTATATAGCTGGTTTATAGAATATATATATGGCTGGTTTAAATTTTATATATATATATATATATATATATATATATATATATATATATATATATATATATGTATATGCTGGGGGGGGTGTGTAGGTGGCTGGGGGTGCCAGAGGGGAGGCATTATGGGTGGCTGGTGGTGCCAGAGGGGAGGCATTGTGGGTGGCTGGTGGTGCCAGAGGGGAGGCTTTGTGGGTGGCAAAGGGGAGGCTTTGTGGGTTGCTGGGCTATGGGTGCTGAGGGTTGCTGAGTTCAGCTGACTGAGGGGCTGCCCATACCTGTGTGCTCCTGTGTACAACACGCGTTGAAATGGGAGGGAGGTGGAGACTGCCAGCGCAGTCACAGTGAGGCCCTAGCATGACTGTCTCTGTCCGAGAAATCATGCCACATGCAGGGGAGGAGAGGAGGAGCAAAGTGATTGCCAACACAGTGACACAAATACACAGACACACAGATACACACAAGTAAACATACACATAGGTACACATACACACAGTTACACATATACACACAGGTACACATTCATAGGTACACATACACACATAGGTACACATAGGTACACATACACACACAGATACACATAAGTACTCACTGACACAGGTACACATACACACTGACATATACAAACATATGCACAACCTCATGTACACACACAAATATATAAATAACAATTTACATATTTTCTCCACCCTCCTATTTACTCAATTTTGATGCAGCAGGATTGATATCCTAAGGTCCAGTGGAAGGTAGCTGTCCTCGGATGATGGGAGTCCCTTCCCTCCTCCAAGTGTACAGCAGTAGGTTTGGAGACCTAACTTACTCCTCCCAGTTGACGGTTGAACCTGGGAGGAGTAAGTTAGGTAGGCAAAGCAAGGCAGTTGACGGTTGAATCTAGGAGGAGTAAGTTAGGTCTCCAAATTCATCACTGTGGATTACTTTACCCCGGACCTGGTATCCAACTCTATTGACACCTCCCCCGTGGGTTCCAGTTCCACCTCTCGGTGTGAGGTCGGAGACGGAGGATACAGAGACTCACAAGCCATCCTCACCGGCTGCAAGGAGGGAGAAGAGAAGGGTCTTTCCTTCAATTTACAATCCGAATCCATCCGGGTCTGGAACACAGGTTCTATACTTTTCTGCACTTGAGACTTGATAGACTTCACTCCTACCTCAGTATTTCACCGTTATTTTTATTCGTTATTGAATTTTTAATCTTTAATAAATTACAATTTTTTTTCATCAATCTGGTTTCAAATCCATTATAAGGTTATTATTATTTTTGAAAACTTAGTTTATTCTATACTAAGTTTTCATTGTTTCCATTGCTTTTCTGGACTACGTATCATCTTATAAATTTTAAGTAGACTGAACTCATAAGTACTTTAGTTACACGGCAATGCCTATACATGCCGAGTCATAGTCACTTATGATACAACAGATTTCGGACAGCAACTTTTTTGTAATTTAAAAAGGACTATTTGGCAACTTTTTATCAATATAACGCTTATTTGAAATTATATTACGATACAAACATATGTATATGTATATTCAACCTCTGAATAGTAATAGAAGATTATGTTTTAAGATTTAACCAATATTTTATTATTTTTATTCCATATTATTATTATTAAATATATCGAATCTTTGCTCCTGGATATTTGCACTCTAGGGTGTTCTTATTTTATCTATTTTAACTTCTTTAGGACTTGGTGGAATCCTATCTTTCCAGTTAGAGCATTTCTACTTCATTATTATTTTCACTCCCTCTCACAAATCTGTCGCTTTCCTCTAGCAGCTGCAGAATTTTTTGTTTCTACAATCATTTATCACAGCCTGCGAACTGCTCTTCACTTTAAAACCAAGAACATATCCAAATGATTATGTGAAGGTTCGCACTACTATTGCCCTGCTGTCGGGTAAACCCCAAACCTGGGCACACCAACTCCTGCACTCAGTCCAAAAAAAGCAGTATATGTGTACACAAACCACAGTGCAAAAGGTGTTTAATTAGCAATAAGCAGAAAAAAACCTCCCTGGCCGGGTGGGATTCCCCAAAAGACTTCCTCCTGTCTTCAACAGTACATACACAAAAAAGGGGGACAATCTGCTAAATCAAATGACAAGAACAGTACATAGCATAATACTGTATATATAAGTAAACCAGATGTCAAATTCACAAATGGCCACTCACACTCTTGTAGAAATTAGAATTCCTTTAGAATGTTTTTTTTTTTTTCAGCATATATGCCCTTTCAAATTCAATGCTTCCATCTCTAATCAATATCTCATGAAATGGTTGAAAGGTCTGTGCTCAAGAAAAAAAAAATATAACAAAATTGTAGTGCACATTCAAAAGTAGGATAAAATAAATTTAATAACTTACATCAAGGTTTAAAACAATAGATGTATTCTCACTGTCACCACTAGGGGTCCTACGCGTTTCGTCCGTATATAGGACTTCCTCAGGGACTTCAGTCCGGCATTTCTGACGGCACTCTGTGCGTCCTTCAAACGTTTGTGCGTTCCACCATACGTTCCATTGCCGAAACCGGAAGTTCGCCATGTTTGATCTATTTTCTCTCTATGTTCCACTCAGGAGCAAATGCATTCAGTATATGTGAACCGGAGGTAGAGAAGAGAGGGGGGATGGTATTTAATTCTGAATGGCACTACTATATACTATTAAACACATATGTTTAACTTACAATATAAACATACAGATAAGTATGTAAATATGTAAAGATTACAATACATAATATATGACTATATATTAATAAAAATAATAAAAATATACATTAATTTAAAAATGAAAGAAGATAAAATAAAATGAAATAAAAATAATAATAATGACAATAAATAAAAAAAAATATATAATAAAGATTAAAATAAAAAATAATAAATAATAAAAAATGAAAATATGATATAATAATAATATCATCAAGTAATGAATAAGAATTTCTTAACAAGAGCACACACACTTTTAAAGTGAAAAAACGTGACATCCCAAATTATGTTGCATTTTTTCCTTCTTTCTTTATTTCATGAGGTATAAAAATATCCCTCATACCTCCAGGTCAATTTTAGAAGGTTAATTTAATTTGAAGTCAATATCATTTGAGTAGAATAAAAAATTAGAATTGAATTAGTTTAAATCTGAGATACGAAATAGAATTCAGTTGGTTGAGAATTAGAATGATTAAAGTACAATTAGAATTAAACATTTTAATTTAATTAGATCTTAATTTAAATTGAATATGGACCAGAGGGGATAA